TTCTCCCCACCACCACCCATACCACCACCCCCACCACCCCATAGCCGCGACCCGCCCGCCATGTCCTCGGACGACGACTTCTACCTGTTCACCAACGGCTCGGTGCCGGGCCCCTGGGACGGCCCTCAGTACCACATCGCCCCGCCGTGGGCGTTCTACCTGCAGACGGCCTTCATGGGCTCCGTGTTCGCCGTGGGGACCCCCCTGAACGCCGTGGTGCTGTGGGTCACCGTGCGCTACAAGCGCCTGCGCCAGCCCCTCAACTACATCCTGGTCAACATCTCGGCCAGCGGCTTCGTCTCCTGCGTCCTCAGCGTCTTCGTCGTCTTCGTGGCCAGCGCACGAGGATACTTCGTCTTCGGGAAGAGGGTCTGCGAGCTGGAGGCCTTCGTCGGCACCACCGGGGGTATTTGGGGGCTGTAGGGTCTATAGGGTCGGAGGGGTTGGTCATTCTCCATTGGGTTTTTCCAGTTGGGTCGGTTGGCTGGTTGACCTCACAGTGTTGGTTGGTTGGGTGGTAGTTGACCCCATAGTGTTGACCCCGTAGGGTTGATCCCATAGAGTTGGTTGGGTGGTGGTTGATCCCATAGGGTCGACCCCATTGGGTTGGTTGGGTGATAGTAGACCCCATAGGGTTGATCCCATAGGGCTGGATGGGCGGTTTTGGACCCCATGGGGTTGGTGTAGGGTAGGACCTGTGGATACTTCGTCTTTGGGAAGAGGGTCTGCGAGCTGGAGGCCTTCGTCGGCACCACCGGGGGTATTTGGGGGCTATCGGGGGGCTATGGGGTGGGGTTGGGGGCTGGAGGGTCTGGAGGGTCTGTGTGGGGTTGGTCATTCTCATGGATTTACTCCCTAACCCTAACAACAATTGGGTTGTTCCGGTGGGGTTAGTTGGGTGATTGACCCCATAGAGTTGTCCCCATAGGGTTGACCTCATAGTGTTGGTTGGTTGGGTGGTGGTTGATCCCATAGTGTTGACCCTGTAGGGTTGACCCCGTAGGGTTGGTTGGGTGGTGGTTGACCCCGTTGGGTTGGTATGGGGTAGGGCCTGAGGATACTTCGTCTTTGAGAAGAGGGTCTGCGAGCTGGAGGTCTTCGTCGGCACCACCGGGGCTATTTGGGGGCTGTAGGGTCTATAGGGTCGGAGCGGTTGGTCATTCTCCATTGGGTTGTTCCAGTTGGGTCGGTTGGCTGGTTGACCTCACAGTGTTGGTTGGTTGGGTGGTGGTTGACCCCATAGTGTTGACCCCGTAGGGTTGATCCCATAGAATTGGTTGGGTGGTGGTTGATCCCATAGGGTCGACCCCATTGGGTTGGTTGGGTGATAGTAGACCCCATAGGGTTGATCCCATAGGGCTGGATGGGCGGTTTTGGACCCCATGGGGTTGGTGTAGGGTAGGACCTGTGGATACTTCGTCTTTGGGAAGAGGGTCTGCGAGCTGGAGGCCTTCGTCGGCACCACCGGGGGTATTTGGGGGCTATCGGGGGGCTATGGGGTGGGGTTGGGGGCTGGAGGGTCTGTAGGGTCTGTGTGGGGTTGGTCATTCTCCATTGGGTTGTTCCAGTTGGGTTGGTTGGGTGATTGACCTCATAGGGTTGGTTGGTTGGGTGGTGGTTGATCCCATAGTGTTGACCCTGTAGGGTTGACTCCATAGGGTTGGATGGGTGGTTTTGGACCCCATGGCGTTGGTGTAGGGTAGGACCCACGGATACTTCGTCTTTGGGAAGAGGGTCTGTGAGCTGGAGGCCTTCGTCGGCACCACCGGGGGTATGGGGGGGCTATGGGGTGTGGTAGGGGTCTGTAGGGTCAACAGGGCCAGAGGGGTTGGTCATTCTTGTGGACTTCCTCCCATTGGGTTTTTCCAGTTGGGTTGGACCTCACAGTGTTGGTTGGGTGGTGGTTGACCCCATAGTGTTGACCCCGTAAGGTTGACCCCATAGGGTTGGATGGGTGGTGGTTGACCCCATAGTGTTGACCCCGTAAGGTTGACCCCATAGAGTTGGTTGGGTGGTGGTTGACCCCGTTGGGTTGGTATGGGGTAGGGCCTGAGGATACTTCGTCTTCGGGAAGAGGGTCTGCGAGCTGGAGGCCTTCGTCGGCACCACCAGGGGTATGAGGGCACTATGGGGTCTGTAGGGTCTGTGTGGGGTTGGTCATTTTCATGGGCTTCCTCCCATTGGGTTGTTCCAGTTGGGTTGGTTGGGTGGTTGACCCCATAGAGTAGTCCCCATAGGGTTGACCCCATAGTGTTGGTTGGTTGGGTGGTGGTTGGTCCCATAGGGTTGGTTGGATGGTAGTAGATCCCATAGGGTTGGATGGGTGGTGGTGGACCCCATGGGGTTGGTATGGGGTAGGACTCACAGCTACTTCATCTTTGGGAAGAAGGTCTGCGAGTTGGAGGCCTTCGTCGGCACCACCGGGGGTATGGAGGGCTATGGGGTGGGGTTGGGGGCTGTAGGGTCTGTAGGGTCGAAGGGGTTGGTCATTCTCCATTGGGTTGTTCCAGTTGGGTTGGTTGGGTGGTAGTAGACCCCACAGGGTTGACCCCATAGAGTTGGATGGGTGGTGGTGGACCCCATGTGGGGTAGAGACGAGAGCTGCTTCGTCTTTGGGAAGAGGGTCTGCGAGCTGGAGGCCTTCGTCGGCACCACCAGGGCTATGGGGGGGCTGTGGGGTGGGGAAGGGGGCTGTAGGGTCTGTAGGGTCTGTGTGGGGTTGGTCATTCTCCATTGGGTTGTTCCAGTTGGGTTGGTTGGCTGGTTGACCTCATAGGGTTGGTTGGGTGGTGGTTGACCCCATAGAGTTGTCCCTGTAGGGTTGACCCCATAGGGTTGGTTGGGTGGTGGTTGACCCCACAGAGTTGACCCCATAGAGTTTGGTTGACTGGTGGCTGATTCCATAGGGTCGATCCCATAGGGTCGACCCCATAGGGTTGACCCCATGGGGTTGTTGTGGGGTAGGGCCCTTGGCTACTTTGTCTTTGGGAAGAGGGTCTGTGAGCTGGAGGCCTTTGTCGGCACCACTGGGGGTTTGGGGTTACGGGGTCAGGGTTGGGATCTGTAGGGTCTGTGTGGGGTTGGGTTTGGGGTTGTGGTTCTCATGGGGTTCTTCCCGTTGTTCCAGTTGGGTTGTTTGGGTGGTTGACCCCATAGGATTGGATGGGTGGTGGCTGACCCCATAGGGTTGACCCCATAGGGTTGGATGGTGGATGGGTGGTGGCTGACCCCATAGGGTTGACCCCATAGGGTTGGATGGGTGGAGGCTGACCCCATAGGTTGACTCCATAGGTTTGGATGGGTGGTGGCTGACCCCATAGGGTTGACCCCATAGGGTAGGATGGTGGTGGCTGACCCCATAGGGTTGACCCCATAGGGTTGGATGGGTGGTGGCTGACCCCATAGGGTTGACCCCATAGGGTTGGATGGCTGGTGGCTGATTCCATAGGGTTGACCCCATAGGGTTGACCCCATAGGGTTGGATGGGTGGTAGCTGACCCCATAGGGTTGATCCCATAGGGTTGAGCCCATAGGGTAGGATGGGTGGTGGTGGACCCCATAGATTTGTCCCCAGCTGCTTGACCCCATAGCTTTATCTCTGTTTTGCTGTCCCTATAAAGTTTGTTTCTATAGGGCTGGCCGGGTCGCATTTGGCTGCAGGCTGCCCCATAGGGCTGGGGATGTCTGTCTGTCTGTCTGTCTGTCTGTCCTTCTGGGGTTGGAGATGGGCAGGCTGTCCCTATAGGGCTGGTTGGGTGCTGGCTGACCCTATTGGGGTGGTGACATCTGTCCCTATGGGGCTGCTGCTGTCTGTGGGTCCCATAGGGCAGGGGCCACACGTCTGTCTGTCCGTCGTTCCCATAGGGCAAGGGAACAATTCTGTCTGTCTGTTGGCCCCATAGATCAGGTGCCACACGTCTGTCTGTCCGTCGCTCCCAGAGGGCAGGTGCCACATGTCTGTCTGTCCATCATTCCCATAGATCAGGTGACACATGTCTGTCTGTCCGTCGGTCCCATAGGGCAGGTGCCACATGTGGGTCCCATAGATCAGGTGACACATGTCTGTCTGTCCGTCGGTCCCATAGGGCAGGTGCCACAAGTGGGTCACATAGATCAGGTGACACCTGTCTGTCTGTCCGTCGCTCCCAGAGGGCAGGTGCCACACGTCTGTCTGTCTGTCGCTCCCATAGGGCAAGTGCCACATGTGGGTCCCACAGATCAGGTGCCACCTGTCTGTCTGTCTGTCTGTCTGTCTGTCTGTCCGTCGCTCCCGCAGGGCTGGTGACCGGCTGGTCGCTCGCCTTCCTGGCCTTCGAGCGTTACATCGTCATCTGCAAACCCTTCGGCAATTTCCGCTTCAGCTCGCGGCACGCGCTGCTGGTGGTGGTCGCCACGTGGCTCATCGGGGTCGGGGTCG